TTGTGTAGTCCCCCTAGTGTCTCATAGGAACGGGACGGTGGTCCGGGAACTGAAGCTGCGCCGCCTCCTTGATCGAGTCGAAGTGCAAGGAGTGCCCGGCGCCGATCAGGATCATGCGCTGTTGCTCCGGAGATAGACGGAGCCTTTCGAGCAGTCTGGCACCGCGTGCCTCGGAGTCGTACATGGGCTCGATGTCGACCCCGCAGGCCTGCAGCGCTCGCTCCACCCGGTGGTAGCGATTGCAAAAGGCGCGGACCCCTTCGTTCGGGAACCGGGACACCTGCTCGAAGTCATGCATGTACTTCCGCTTCTGGTAGATGGCTCGAGTCTTTAAGGCCGCCCGCAGGGTACCCAAGATGAACTCGATGCCGTCCTTGTCATTGATCTTTGTCACGTCGGCATTCTCCAGCTCCTCCTCGGCCTCGCCCTTCAGGGAGACAAAGAGGTTCATCGCAGCTTCGTTCGGGGGAAGGTAGCTGGAAACTTGCATCTCCCAAATTCGAACTCGCCTTTCCCACCGGTCGTAGGCCCTCAAGTCGTCTCTGGAGTAGTGCCAGACCGGTGGGTTTGGTGGAGCTCCGGAGCGACTCGAATCCCAGGCGCTCGGAGGCCTCTGGTTGAGCCTCAGGTCGCCCAGGTTCCGCAGCATCTCGTCACGCCACTCGGGTTCTTGGTCGCCTTCTCCACGGTCTCCTGGGCCGGCAGCGTGTCCCGAACGTCGTGCTTGCGGGGAACAAGGCCCTTGTCCAGAATCGGCTCCGCCTGCGGGAACAGCTGCGGCAGCAGCGGCTCGTCGCTGTCGTCGGGAGAGCTTGCGAAGCGGGCGAAGAGTATCGGGATCAACCGATGGGTCCACTGTCGGGGCCTCTGACTCAGCCCGTCCTTCGCCCCAAGCTTCGCTCCAAGCTTCGCCCCAAGCCTCTTGCCCAGGGTCTCGCGGAGCGCCGTGTCTGGTCGCCGCCGGCCAAGTAGGAGAAGTCGATGGCCTTGCCGGTGGTGACCAGGAAGCTGTCGAGGGAGAGGCAGAAGAGCGGGAGGATGCATCGCACTCTGCCGGGGGTCTCGGCACATAAACCCAGGTACCTTGCTCGGATTCACGCCGCGTCGGGGACATGCTGTCGTAGAAGCTGTTGGAACCACAAAGTCGGCACACCCAGCTTCCCCAGCCTGCGGACTGGAAGTCAACGCTGTCACACCGGACACACCTCCAAGCAGGCCAGTGATCTGCACGTGGTTGGTGGTCGGGCTCATATCCATCGCGGTCCTCTGGAGGTCGTTCTTCGGAGAGGCCTGGTCGCAGCTCATCCGGTAGTCCTGGAGGGGAACGCAAAGGGGCCTGCGACGAACTGCCGGGCACATGGGGACGGCCCTCCGAGATGAAGCTCTCTATCGGGGGCGGCACTCCAGTCTCTCCAGCAGCCATGGGCAAAAGCCTCTCCGAGGCTCCGCTGCCAACTCGCAGCACTACTTGCTTTCAGAAGTCTGCAGGGTCAAGCGGACGAAGGCGCCATTTTATCCGCTCGACAAAGTCTCGGCTCAGTGCGCATCTTAAGCCCCATGCCAGCAGATGGACCAAGGTACACAGCAACCGCACAGCAACGCACAAACGCTAAACTTTCACAGAATGAATTGGCGCCACCTAATTGGCAGCAACATCGCTAGTTGGATGTGTACAAAAGCGTCACCAGGCACGTGTCGCCCGACGATGGAAATCGAAACTGAAGGTTCAGCTCCGCTTGAGGCTTCCGTGGATCCCAGCTTGCTGATGGCATCCCACCGACTCGTGCATGCTGCGAGGCCTTCAATCAGTCAGACCGACCCTGTCCCTAACGAGACACCTTCAGCACCACCGATCTGCAGCCCACAACGTCACGGCGGTGCAAGCCTGTGCAAGGCGCTGCAATATGAAGTGCTGCACTTCCGGCATTTCTCGGCATGCGGAACAAAGGCATAAAGGCACAAATGCAAACTGGAAGTATACAGCCGCGTCTCGCCCAGGTTTTTTCCGACTCAGCAAAAGATCTGCACGCTTTGCGTGCCCCGCCTGCTGTGCCTTGCAAGGCCCTGCTGGTCAGCATGCAGCGGAGTGCTTGCGACTCAACATAATCTTAAAACACTTCTAGCTTGCCCAGCCTCTGTGCCAGTGCCGCCAAGTTCCACGTTCAGCTTCTTTGTTTATGCTTTTAGGATCAGACTCTCTGCTTTTGGCTTTTGCTTTTGGCCGTGTGTGAACTTAGCAGAGGTCTAAAACGGTCAAAAATTGAGCAGCCGGCAACTATCAACATCCAGGGCCCAGGCTTGAAGCCGTGGAAAACGCGGGACTGAAGTGGCTTCCAGTGACAACGAAGCTGGCTTAGGCCTTAGGGTTTAGGGTTCCTCTTCGAACACTCTCTACGCAGCTCTGGGTTAGACTCAGACTTCCCTCTCTGCTACAGCTTTGCATGTTTCTTCTGCTCCTGATTTCGTGACTCTATGAGAAGAGGCTTTGAATGTTCCATTTCTTGGACATGTAGTCGTCGAAGGAACGGGCTTCCGGATCCGGCAAAATCTGGTTGAAGAAAATCAGCTCACCAAGACTTCCTGTGAAGTAGTTCGCGGCTTCATTGCCAGCTTCGGCACCTGCATTGCAAGATGCATCTCTCCGCAACGAAAGAAGGCTGGCGGAGACCCTGCCTAACATGAAGCCCTTCTCTTCATCGGCGTTGGTCGTGGTGAAATTGGGGACCGTTGCCAAGCTGACCGACGCCGTCTTGCCAGGCGCCTGAATCGTCAGTTGGTCACCCCATTTCCAGCACAAGCGATCGTCAACTGGCTCAAAGCCGCTGTCCTCAAGATGTGCCACGCTCCCAACAGCGGCCGAGAGAGAAGGTTTGCCTTCCCAGGTGTCCAGAGACATCGAAAACCGGCCACCGATCCGAGAGACGTGATGACTTCTGGCATCGTCGCTGAATCGTCTATACTCGTGACAATCCAGGCTTCCACAGCAGCGCTGTTCAACAGCCGGTCGGGATAGACCGAGCTGCCGACCAAATACCTCACTCAGTCAACCCTTCAACAATCACAATCCATCCATCAGCAGCAGAACAGTCAGAATGGTAGAATCAGGTGCAGGTACACCTGAAGATGACTCAGTCAGCATCGACACTACCATCGAGATCACTGCCGCGACAACAAGGGTAGATAGGAAGATGCACCGGAGCGGGGGTTTTCACTCCGACGTAAAGATCACAAAATGAGCCACCGAGATGCACGACAAGCGCAAACAGAACGAAGCAAGACAAACAACACATCTATCCAAAACCATCAACTCCTGCAGGAAGTGCAGGCTGTTCTCTGCGAGGACACAGCTCACTGTGCGCAGAGAACTGAACATCTGCAAAGCCAACTCAGCTTCCCACCCAAGCGGCGAACGAGCGCTCGTCCCAAACTTGGCAAGTCGGATAGAAGTTGGGCTGTCCACAACTGCCACGGTCGGTGCCTCCTGAAGTGGTGACGACGTCTGCAGAACAAGCTGAGTGTCGTAGCTGTCCGTCCACCTAGTCACTTGTCCAACAGTCTGCTCGTCCGCCTTGAGCCACATGACTGGGAGAATTTGCCCGCAGATGCTCTTGCTGAACAGCCACTTGTCTTCTAAAGATGCTCTCAATGAGTCGGCTTCCGCTTCGTCGAGGATCCCGTCAAGCCTGAGCAGTGTTGAACAAGTTGGACAATGTTGACAGCATCCAGACTTCAAACGTCTCGTGCCCTCTTCCTGCGGCTGAGCAGCAGAATCTCGCCAAGCTGACCGCGGAAGCTTCGAGCATCCTGGGAGCCCCCACCTTTGGCCTGGCCACCCAGCCTCAATTTGTCTTCCTCGCGGCCGGCACAACTGACACAACTCACCGCAGAGCGACTGAGGAATGCATCAGGAGACGCGGGACATACGGTCTTTGGGCCCTCGGCGAAGGCGGCTGGGGTGCATGTACGGGCATTGGGGCCTTAAGGGCATGTCACGGTACGTTTAGGGCTTAGGAAGTTTAAGAACTATTGCTTGTTAATGACTGTTCTAACCGCGTTGCTGCCCTGTCTCCAAGGCATCACTGTAAGTAATGTGGAGTCATGTAGACTGTGCTCATGGATTAACAATGTCGGCACTGTGGTCACGTCCACTCCTTGATGTTGGCTGCATCCAAAGAGCTGACTGCCCAGGAAACTTCTGCAAGCTTCTCCCCATCGCGGTAAATGGCAATGTGGCTCCCGAGGGCGAACTGCCTTGCTTGCACAACTCGGTGCAAATTGATTGGTTTGTGTTGTGCCGATTGTGCCCTTCGAAACCTTGTGAGATTTGGCAGGGCACACGCGGTACAAGTGCAAGAAGTTGTCCTGCAAGATGGCTCCCGTAGTCAGCAGACTCGTATCTGCCACAAGAAAGGGCATTCAGTAGCAGGTTTTTCTGATTCTGAGACCGTCACCACCACTGACGACAAGTTGAGGCACCACGGTGAACAACATCACACATGCCCTGTGATGACTGCTTTTTTCCTTGTGACTGCAAGAAAGCCTGGCCATTGATGGAAACTGGATTGAAATGTTACGTTACAAGACTGGACCATGTCGACTCTGTGGGGGGATCTTCTTATTTCATATCCTAGCCGTGCCGACGGCCATGTGCCCTGCCTATGGCATAGACGCGCACCTCCCCTTGGTCGAAGGCGACTCCATAGCCATAATCTGCGTAAAATCCGAAATCCAGCACGAACTGAGGCATGTTGTCACCTGAATCCTCTCCAATGGGGGCGGCCACATACCAGATCTCCAAGCCTCCAGAGCCAGCTCCAGAGCTGTAGGGCTGAAAGTCACTTCTCATCGGGGTTGGACCTCAGGGCATCTGTGCGACTTTGCCACTCTTTTCTTAAAGGCTTCTGAAACTCTCTCACGATGTACAGTATGTAACCTCCAAGCACTCCGCAGATTGTTATTTCTTACAGGAGCACAACAAACCTTGAACAGCGAAGCAGTTCCTGCATATGGGGCGTGTCGCCTGCAAGCCCGAAGCGGACGGTCTTGAGACAGCTGATTGGATCTGTAGTGGTGACAGGGGAGTCGGAGATCGTTTGCACTTGGATGGAGTCCCCGACGCTCGAAGTCCAAGAGGAAACGGAAGAGTCTGAGCTCTGCAATCCAGCTTCCTGGAACCAAAGGAGGGTGGCCACACCCTTGTTTGCAAGCGCTCGTAACTCCCAGGCCTCAGCTGCCGAGCTAGCACTGGCCATATCACGATTGAAAAAGAAGAACATCACATAGGCCATACTTTGCAAGACACCTCCGGTTCCAATAGATCTTCGCCAGAGGAGAAGGCATCCTTGAGTTCGGTAACAAGTTCCTGCAAAACTGGGCAGGCGCAGTCGGAAGTAACCGTGCATGAAACCCGTTGAATCACGCCCGGCATGTTCCTTGAAACACACACCCCAAAAACTGCCAGGGACACCTCAAAGAAACGGTGCTCCCTGGAGGTCACATAACAAGCGGGGAAGAAAGAAGATAAAGCCTCACACAGGGGACACGCAAGAGAGAGGATGCCTGAATGCCTCAGCTTTCTTTCCAACAGCAGAAGATGTACGACTGCGAACTTGAGGAGTGGAGTCATGGGCCGATGTCACTGGCAGTTATAACTACAAGAAGAGATTTCCTACGTCTTCCAAGGCGAGCAGCAACTGCTCATCCTCGCAATCGGGACAGTCGCAAGTCCAGTCGTCCCAATACTCCTGCCAGGCGGAGCAGAAACAGATGCGAAGCCGAAAAGGCAGCTGCTTAACGCGGTTGACGGCTTAAGAGCATGGCCCGGCTCTGTTCTTCCAGGTTTGTGGCGCTCGAAGCAGGCCCGCGGTCGAACTAGTGCGACAACAAACACGGCGTGCTCCTCGGGAATCGCCCATCATTTGCCCGAAGGATCCCAAAGGCCTGCGGGGCTTCGGGGCCGCAGTGGGTTTAGGCTTTGCAAAGGACTTTGGGCGCACAAGGCGAGCAGCGTCTCCCCCCGCTCAACTCCTAACTCCAAAACCAGCCGTAAGCTAAGCAAAAGTTCCCGACGCCGATCCAATCTGCCATAAGACCGGGCGCAGCAAGAACTCGCGGGACTCGGCGGCACAAGCCCCGGAGGTGCAGGGTAGGTGACGCAATTAGCACAACACCTGAACTCAAGAGTCTTTTGTCTCGCAGATTTCGAGCCCAGGCATTGGTCAGCAACACGAGCTACACGAGCACCATCACGAAGCAAGCAAGCCTTCACGAACATTGAAGGCACGAGTTAGTGCTGAAAGCCAGAAATAGGCATGGACATGGCGGGTGCAGGTGTTTTTCGATGTCGCGCAAAAACAAAAACACACACACACACACACACACACACCCCCACACATCCACACCCACACCCACACCCACGCACACACACACACACACCCACACACACACAACATGTCAATGCAGACGTTGACAAAGGCTCCCTTGCTGGCCTTGCCCGTCCGAAGCCGAGTCGCAGCGGCACTGGGAGATTTCGAGCACTGCCACCTGGGCGGCAGGGCA